TTTAAGATGAGTAGGGATTTTTAAGATTGCAGTTCTAAATGTTTAACTGCATGATGGAATTGTGACTTCTTCATAGCTGATGAATAACACATTGTCACATGGCTGTCTAAACAAACTTTCTTTCTTTCAAAATGGTATAGAAATTGTTCCTTAGTCGCAATAAAAGTACAATGTGTAATGATTATGTGATTATTTTTTTTTTAATCAAGTAATGCATTCTTATGTTAACTTTCAGGAAGCACAGGCTTATGCAGATGACAACAGCTTATTGTTCATGGAGACGTCTGCCAAAACATCTATGAATGTAAATGAAATATTCATGGCAATTGGTGAGTTTATGAACAAACTGAGAATTTAAGGGAATTGTTTTCATGAGATAGATATCTATCACAATCTTCCAAACCCAAGATCTTTTCGTTTTCACCTGAATTATTTCTGGCAGTGACATTTCCTTAGGCCCTTTCAGATCCTTTTTGATGTTCAGAAGTCAGATAAACTTACTTGAAGCACAGTTGCACAGGCCTTCTGTCAAGCACCAAAACAGTTGAGTTAACTTGGAATAGCTAAGCTAGGTCACTTTTGAAGTCTGTCAGCAAGCTCCGTGTACCTGTTTTGATTCCATGATGAAAACTTGCACTGCTTTAAGTTCAAGCAAAATTAAGCTTTAGTTGTTATATACAAAAACCCCACCTTTCCCATGGTATAGGTAACTATGAAAAGCTTTACACAGCTTTTCTTAATTGTAAGATGTACTTGACATTTTTTAATCAAATAAGTGTAAGAATGTAAGTGAAAGTGTATACATGTGTGCCTTTTGATGGTATGTTGTTTGCAGCAGATTCGACACTGCCTTGGACAGGTGCAGAACCTGGAATAACGTACCTCTTATGAGACAGCTGTAATTGAAGCTGGAAACATTTCAAAATGGGAGAATGATAATAAGCTTGCTTAAAAAAAAGTCAAGTATTCATTTTAGTCTAAGCAAAATATTTGCTAAATACACTTTTGTGTTAAAATTTTGCTTGAATTCCAAATGCAGCTATCTGAAATCCAAAAGTTGTGCCTAAGATGACAATGTGCACTTAAATGCAATGTCCAAGTATAAATAAAGGACACTTCATGTGACAAGTAAATTTACTAATACATTATTAGGCCTAACATAATCTTAGGGATTTCTGTAAAGATGCTAACATGTAATAGTAAGTATAAATTACTAAGAAATTTTGTGAATTCCATTGATAGACACAAAATTGTATTTCATTGTTAATAAAATTTTGAAAGTGAAGGAAAAAGAAAGCATGCGTTTTTAGGCTGGTCACCAACCTATTTAGTAATAACCTTAATCACAGTAGTGGCTCTGCTACTGGGGTATAGTAATGTATACTGTCAAGTAACCTTATTAAATCTGTTTCATGTTTTGCACTACAGTGACCTCTCAATCCCACTTCTTTTTGTGAAAAAAGCATTGCTATCAAAATTAAATGTTTAAAGAGCTCTGATCTTCTGCTTTCCAGATCAGTAAAGCAGGAAGTAATTTGTGGGGTGGTTCAAACTTTGAGCAGATGCAAGTTAAATTATCACTATAGCAACACTTTACAACAAGTACTTGCTTCATATTAACTATAAATACTTGGGGAGGAGGGGTACAACACATAACTGTATGAGTAGAAAGTATATTTTTCTCATAAATGCTCTAGATAGGCTTGCATTTAATGGTACAGAAATGCTCAATTACACTGTTCTGGTGAAATTTTAAAATTAATTTGTTTAAAGATGCAGTTTGCATGTTGTTTAAAAAAAGAAAGAAAATTAATCCCCAAAATCTGATAATTTTGGGGGTAATTTGTTATATCAACAATAGTTCTTATCTCTCCATATTTTAATGAAGTATACAAAGTAAACTTGAGAAAACAATGCCCAGTCAGTACCTAGGTATTTTGTCTGCAAGACTGGTTGTCCATGTGAGTATTCTTTCACATTGATGAGTGAAATTCAGCTTTGTCAGTGCATCAGAACAAGATCTGTGCAGCAGTGGACCCTGAAAGGAAATCTCGATGAGGCTATAAGTATTGCATGGAACTTGGAATGGCCTTTTGCACAACACGGATGCAGTTTTTAGGACCATGTGTAAATATGGTCATCAAAAATGGGAGAAAAAGAAAAATGAGAACGTGGACAGAATTGATGGCTGCAAACTACAGCCGCTTGTAAATTGACTGCTTCAGAGCTCTTTCAGAGCTTCCATTTACAAAAATCATATTAATTTACAGTTCTAGAATGTATCTAGAATCCAAAACAACAGTGCTCTGACAGCATTTTTCAACTGGTGCTTTGTCCCTTTGTACTGTCTCAGCAGCTTAATACCATGTCAACTCTTGGGTTCTATCACAGGATCGTAGAACAGCCCAAGGTGGAAAGGACCTCAATAGATGGTCTGGTCTAACCTTTTGTGGGAAAGGGAGCCTAGACAAGATTACGTAGCACCCTGAGATTATCTAGCATCATAACACATCTTGTTGATGTGTACTCTGCTGGGTTTCTGGCTGTTATACTTGCATTTCATTACTTTTAGGAAAAAAGCTGGTCAAAGTAATTACTTTGGAGTTGAAGCATGCAGCCAAACTGTAGAATAGGGATGGTTGTTGGGCCCTGGTAACATGGGCAAGATGGCCCCATGGAAGTCCTTTTACATAGAACTTGGCATTCTCTCCATCAGAATATTGCTAAGATGAGCTAATGCTCAGAAGGGTAACATTTGTTACCCTTATCTTTCACGTCAGGACTGAGGAGCTACCCTGGAGCTACAAGGACAACAAAGAAATTATCACTGTCAATTGACTCATAAGAGCTGGAGAGAAGAGAGAACTTCCAAAAAGAGGAGACTTGATCTAGTGCTGAGGGCTACTTTATATGTTGTACGCAAAAACTTACTCTGGCTAGATAGCTGGGCAGTAGTTTGACCCATTTCTTTCTGTGTTTTGTGCCTTTTCAGTCTTTCTGTATCTTTTAGCACTAGCATCCTGATCTTAAAGCCTGTTCTGTGTAGGTGGATTCCCACAAGAGCCATCATTTACTGGTATGGCATAGCATACCAGTGCAGATAAATTTTACTGCTCAAGTTGCTAATACGTTTCACTCTTGAAAATCATAGATAAGGTAGTTAATCATTAAGAAGTTAAGTGTCTTAACTTCTTTTATTACCAATGCACTGAATCAAATCAGATTTTATAGTGATTATATTGATATGCTTATAGAGTAATACAGTGTTGACTGTTTGTGTACTCAGGTGATTTAATCTTAGTACAATCTCAGTTTTAACTCTTATTTCTTGTTGATTTTATAGCAAAAAAATTGCCCAAGAATGAACCACAGAATGCAGGAGCAAACTCTGCCAGAGGAAGAGGAGTAGACCTTACTGAACCCACGCAACCACCCAAGAGTCAATGTTGTAGTAACTAAAACATCAATTGCTTTAAACTGTTCTGAATATTCTTCTGCTTCCTAACTGTTAATAACCATGGAATTGGAGTGCTTAACCTGGCCCAGTACAGCTTCCAAACAGCGAAGAGACTTACAATAGTCAAGTTCATGATACAGATTTTTCTTTTGACCTAAAATTTTAACATGCATGTATCCACCACTGGCTATAATGTTTCAGCAGTAGAGGAGAGATGGAATCGGAATAAACTTCCTTCAGTTGAAAGGTTTTAAAAATCACTTACCATTAGGGCTGTAGAAGAACTACTTTCTGTGGACCTAATTGGCCAGTTCCTGTAGCCTCAATACTGATTACTGTTATAATAAATAGAGTTGGGACTTTTCATAATTCTCAATTGTGCTTTAAAACCTTTTTAGAAACAGGGTCTAAAAATTACTTAAACTTATTCACAGTATTGATGCAACCAGTTGTTTCTGCAGGTATCTACTGTTTAGTTATACATTCCATAGTTAATAATTTAATTACAAATAATACTTGCATTAACAATTTTAAGACCCCTATGCTTCCAGGAAAGTGGAGTTTTAGTTGGTACACTGTATGTAAACTATATCAACCCAGTCAGTTATCTAAAGGAATTAGTGATAAATCAAATTTAACTTCATTTCTAATCTGTTCAGAGGGTACAGACCAGTAAATTCAACTTTACAACTTAGGATCTTTTTTTTTTCCTCTACAAACTGTAAGAGCTCTTCAAGTAAAACCACAACAAACTTGGTGACTGTGACTTCTTTCTTGTTTTTGATCATTGCTCACCATTACAGTTTATGTTTTTCCCCTAAGGAAAAAAATAGTGCACTAACAATTATGTACATCCAACTTGATTTTAAATTTGGATATTAATGTACTGTAAATAGGTACTCTGCATTGTAGTCTACATTTGTTTAATACTTTCTGTAATATTTAAGAGTTGCTTAAAGGTATACAGAATGTACAGTTACTTAAAGCTAACTTTTTTCCTGTCTAATCAAAGGGGGTTCTAAGTTCTTCCTTTATGGCTAGAACAGTAATAAATGATGCTCCTGTATCTGTAACATAAGTACTGCTGTCTGTCAGTAATGAACTTTGCAACTTTGTTTTCCAAAGTACATTTTATTTTGATCTGTCCAGTATATTGCACTAATTCTTTTAGTTATTTTCATTATATGAAATCTACCAAGTGTGTCAGAAGAGATGAATTAGTCTATTTAAATGTTGAACTGGTAGCAGAAACTTACTCATGCAGATTTTAAATTTGCAGTAATCTGGGTTTAGCGAGGAAAATGACAGTTCACCAGTGTTTAGTTTTATATTGAGGTGCTCAGGTTTGAATAAAGTGGTTTAAAAAAAAGAAAAGAAGATTTTTGATTACTCTTTCTTATTGAAAGTTTCAGAAGGTTTTATTGCATTTGCACAGTTCCAGACAAGATGTCTGATTTACTGTATGGGTCAGCATTTAAGATGATTACAAGTAAATACATGACACAGCTAAACATAAGCTTGTACTATATGTACTGTGGCACTCCAGTTATCCTATGATAAATTTTTAAATGTTGAGGTAATTGGGTATCTCATCGCATCCATTTAGAAGTACAATCAAAATAGTAATATTATCTCTTGAACCTGCAGCTAATGCAGTCTTTACCAGTTGTTCGCTAATGTAGCTTGCTGCATTATCATAGAGTGTCTCAGAGGTGACTCTGCCTCTTCCTGCAGTTTGTGATTTGCAATTGGACAGGTATGTTTCTGTGTCCTCTTCAAACTGTGGTGCTGGTTTAGAACCCACTGGTGATAGAGTCTTTAGCAGTTCTTGACCAGTGTAACTTGCAGGTTTGTCACAAAATATCTTGGAGTCCATTTTTTGTGCCAGTTGTGGACCTGAGTCATAATTAGATAGGCATGCTTTTCTATCTTTTGGGGGCTGTTTCATGTCTTTAAACCCTATTGCCAGTACATTCTCTTGCAGCTGTTTATGGGTGCGACTTGGACCTGTTGCACAGAAAGTGTCAGTGTCTGTTTCTTCTTGCTCTGCAGGCTGTGGCTGAAAGATGTTACATACATAAACTTTTCTTTCCTCAAACTGTTTCAGTTTTTCAGAGCCACTTTGTGTGGTAGAATCAAGCTGTTTTATCTCTCTGTTCTGTGAATTTACTTCATTATTACTGAAAAGAGACAGTTCTGGATCAGCTTGGTTTTTGTGGTCATCGGTTTCCTTAAGAACACCATCTTCACTTGGCAAATAATTCCTCCTAGAACATTTTGGCTTATTTTGTTGCAGGTTACCTTTTGAGTCAGTGAGAAGAATATCTTTATTGGAATACAGTACCTCTATTCCATGTTGCAGATCTTTAACAGCCTTTGAGTCATTTAAGTTGTCTTCAGTGAGGGGCATCAAATACTGACACTTACACAGAGAAGGTGCGTTTTGTTGAACACATTCATACATTCTCAAATAATGAGTGAATGTTGTTAGAGTTAATGCAAGTACTTCATTGTAATCCAAAACCTCCCAAAGCCCATTAGAAGCTAAAATAAGAAACTGACAATTATCATCAATAGGGACAGATATGGTATGAGGTACAGGTATAACAGATCTTTTCAGTACTGGATTGCCGTGATGTCCAAGACCCCTTGTAGTTCTCAGGTACCCCTCTACTAATCCGTCTGGTTCATTAGTGCTGATGTTTCCACCATTCTCAAATATGCGTTTTCTCTCGCTTACATTAGAAGTGCTGTGCTCTTTTGAGAGGCAGTGACTCTTTCCATTCTTACATAAGACTGCATGTGCATTACCTAAAAATGAAATAAGGTAATATTTTGTATTATAGCATACTGATTATTTTTTTAAGATACTGCTGTTCCATCAGCAGTTAGCCTTTTGCTAGGGACTGGGAAAAAAACTCAGGTCATAGTTCAATTATCTACTGCCACAGGCAACAATATGTCCATCAGTGAATCTGGTTCTATTTTACAGCAGTTTCCTGTGGTTTTTTTCCCCTCCCATTATTCAGAAGACTATTCCAGAACCTTGTTCTTCTGACTGCAACTAAACTCTTATGAGGAGTCTTAAGTGACATTCCATTCTGCTTAAAGTGCAGTCTGATAGAAATGTTGCACCTTGATTGTTTTTTTAAGCAAGAGTGCATATTTTTCTCAAATACTCTTTTTTTTTCCTAGTAGAGTGTATGCTTTCAAATTATTACAGCTGAATGAACTCATCAAGAAGTTTCAGGTTCAGACTATTTTTAGCAGTATAAAATTTCTAGTACCTGAAAATAATTTGGACATCGTGTAGAATTTACTAACATGATGCCTTAAATCTTGTCCTCAGTTAAGGGACCCAACGGAGCAAGAGTTCTCACAGTCATCACAAGGAGTCAATGACTAACTTCTTTCCTTTAGGTACTTTACGTTTCCCTCAAAACTTTTGAAATCTGCAGGCTGAGAATGAAAAGTGTTAGAAATTGCAGCACTCTGGGTGTCTAGTCTTGTCAGACTTGAATGTAGAGTGTAAAGGCAAGCAGCTCTGAAACAAAGTGATGTATTGTTTGAGATCCTTTATGGCTACAGTGGGAGAAGACCATTTTTTCTGTTGGGGGGGTGACTGGTCTGCTCCCATGTGTTGGTACAAGGGCAAAAGTGGTGTGTTACAGAAGGAACTTGAATTGGATGGTAGCTTTCCAGGTGCTAATCTGGCTGCAGTATGTTCATTTATATTGTAATTTTAGTACCATCTGGCTAGACTAGGGCACGGATGTCTGGAAAGTGTTTATAAGTAGGCACTGCTTATACAGTAGTTGTATTTCTTGGAAAGTATTGGCATTGTCTAGTGTAGGAGGCAGCTAAGTGTAGTCTGTGTGAAGGCAGGTTTCTCTAGAATGTGATTCAGAATATCAAACTGAAGGATACACCTGTTCTATTGATTATAGAATGTAGATGCCTTAAGTTATGTTGTGTGAATGTTTCCTTGTGCTTGCTCCCTCCTTCGTCTGATTTCCATGGACAGCTAGAAGATTGTCTAAAATTTCCTTTGAACCCTCTGAGTAAGACCACCAGCTGTAAGCATAACAAAGGGCATAATATAACCCATGTGGAACAATTTGACTGCAAGAAAGAATAAAATCTAGTCACTTTTGGATGCAAGTTGCTTGTCTGCAAACCAGAGACAGGGCAAAAGAATCGACAAAAACTAGCTGACTTATCAATGTGGGACTAATGAAGAAGACAAAGCTGGCCAATGCCACCATCTCCTGCTCCTCGTATCTGACCATCCTCTTCAGTTGCTTACCTGGTGCTGAAGGAACATGTCTATACTTCTGTAAGAACACATTCCTGGAGGGAAAATGAAGCTTGTTGTGCAAATCTTTTTCTTTGATGTGATACAATTGGTGGAAAATTAAGTGTATTAGATTAAATAAATGTGTATTTAGAAGTGGTTCAAAAATGTGGACTTTAATCATAAAAGGCTTGAAGTATCTCTGATGAACTTCAAGCCTTAACTCATTAGCAGAGCTTGAGTTTACAGTATGTTTAATTGCAGCCAGCAGAAAATCTCATCTGGGAGGGAAGGATGGAGGCAGGTAACTAGAACCAGAAAACTTAGGTTGGGTGAATTCTCTACCAAATTTTCTTACCTTCATCCTACCTCTCAAGCTCATCGTAATAAAAGTCGGTTTCTTACCCAATAAGGTGAAAACAAATGCATTTGTTAGTTCTGAAAACATTACAACCTTTACGTGAGTACTCCTGTATTCAGTTAAAGGTGTGACTGCATCTCCTGCAAGAATATCTGTGCTAGTGCTAAACTACCAATTTTGATACCAGTAACAGTAAAGTTCTGGTTGCAGCAGAAATGCTTGTTGGAGGTAGAGGAAGTATGGATATAGCAACAAGCACTGGGAAGATGGAGGAAAGGGAGGGGGTAGACCACAATTACTTATTTCAGTGTCAGTGCATATTCAAGTTTGTTTATAGTGTTCCTCAGACTGGCAGAGAATTGTTAAGCAAAAATACTTTTTTAGTTTTTCCAAGTGTGGAATATGTTTTTAGGGGTTGGGGGTTTTTGCCTCCTGAAAAAAATGAAGCCTTTCAAATAGTTTTCCCTTTACTGAACTTTGACCCTCTTGATTAATTTCAGTCAAATTTTATGTGAAGAAATATGAAGAAGTCTTAAAAGTTTTGTGAATACACTCATCTGAGGAGGAATGATGGAAAGTGGTGATCACCATCACCCTGGTGATGGAAAGTTGCAGTGTTAGTAGCATGCTCCTTACTCATGCTAGGGAGAGTGATAGAAAAGTCTTACAATGCTGGGCATGTGGTTCAAGCAGAGACTGGAAGACACCAGAGAACATAACCGTAGACACAAATCCATTTGAGACTATTCACCCAGTGGCCTTTTTTATGTGATTCTGCTTGTGTACTCCTTCATGGGAAAGCAAGTATCTTGCTTGTAATCTTAGACCTGTCTTCTGTACACAAGAGAACTTAACTGGTAACAAAAATCACCAAGTGGGAAGATACAATGACTGAGTTCCTAAGAACTGCAAGAGCTTTGTCTAGTGTTTCCTGCAGCAGGGCTGGGTGGAGAAGCATTATGAATGTATCAGTATTTCTGATTGTAATTAGTAACTGATTTTCTACACTATAGAAAGGCAAAGCACGTCTCTACTTCATGAGGAAACAGGTCTGAATAGATCTTCTGTAACAACAGTAAATAACCAATTCCTAGTTCAGAAATTAATAATTCAGATGATCTCCACCAGATCATGTTTGCAGTTTGCTGGTAGAAAAATGTGGTGTCACTTAGTGAAACAAATGAATAAAAGGAATATCCTGAGCATGTGTCATTGACACAAGGAATTTATCAGATGTAAAATCAGAAGAGTTATGATTGTCTGCTCTAAAATGATGACACCTTAAACTTCATCTTGATTTAAAAAAAAAAAATTGTCCTTACACAAGTGACCTCTGTAAGAGTAGTATTACGGAATGTTTATTATTAACTGTGTCTTTTGCATTAGTAAATTGACTTCACTGCTTTAACTCAAATATATTGAAGGTACTTATTAGATACGCTTAATACTTATTGCCTCATACAAGGATCAGTTGCAAGGGAGTTTATCATGTCTCCTTCACATTGTCAAGTTAAAGCAATTGCAGCTTTTTATCTCCAAATATCTACTGCCAACAAATCTCTAGATTAGCTTATTTTTTTCACTCTTTATTAGGCAAAAAAAATCCTGGTGTGGAATGTACATACCTGTATTGGCAACGTGCAGTAACCCAGCAGCACCTTTGGCTTGTCTGGTTAATGGACTATGTGTATTGTTTTCAGAATGTTTTCTTCCTTCTTCCCCATTGCCATCTGTCTCTTTGCTGGGGATTCTTTCCACCAAACAGGTAACTACTGAACAGCCACTCCAGCGAACTTTGGAAACCTCATTCCTTCCCAGTCGTAAAAGTCTATCCATTCTCCAAAAGGACTTGGCGTATGCTTTGTGAATCCATTCGTAAATATTGGTCTTGTTGGTCTCGCCATTGCCTGGTTTATCAGAGAAAATCTTCTCTTTTTCCCTGTAATCTGCCTTGATTACTGTGGTGAAAGAATCTAGAATTTGCTGTTCATCCTTACTCTTTTTGTAGGAGGAATCTGTTTGAGCAAGCTGGTCAAGAAATAAAAGTGGAAGCTCTGCTGCAACTGTTTCGGCAGCTGTTACACCGTGAGACCCATCAGCTATCCCTAGAAAACATGTATCTGACCTATTTCCATAGTTGTTGAGCACAATAAATCTGTCTTCCATGTCTCCCTGCCATGTGGAATTTTTATCTTGGCAAATTGATAATGCTTTTATTAAAGAATTATTTACTTTCTTGAAAGTACTAGGATTGTTAATATTAGCAGGATCACGATATGATGTCGGAGTGTGGTTATCCATAAGGAATTCAAATGAATAATCAATCTTCTGCCTATGTGTCTCAGAATATTTAGGAATCTTGGTCAATTTTGAAATTAGTTGCTGTCTCTGAGCCAAAAGTGTTTTGTTGTCAGTTTTTGTTTGTGGGCTATCAAAGCCCAGCAAAGTTAGGGCTTTGTGGGTTTTTTTATGATAAAGAAGGTGCTCTGGAGATACTGTTTGTTGACATGCAGAGCAAAAAATTGAAATGCGCTTGCAATCATTGTTCTCAGGTGCAATTGTGACCTTCTCCAGGTGATCTTCCTGGTCTCTGGAAAGTTCAAAATCAGGTGGGTTTGATTTGTCCTGAGATTTTTCCTCCCATGTCATTCTATAAAGGAGTTGAATATGTTAAGAGTTTTTGTATTTCAACGTTTTAATATTAGGTAACACTACATGTACCTAAGCTTTGTTCTCACTCTCTTATAAACTGAATTGCATCATTGCATACTAATGCATACATGGTCAAGAAACTGGGAAGCCCATGTGAGATTGTATAAAAATTGTAACTAGTAACTATGTTAAAAATCATTAATACAGCAAATTCAAGAAGTGAAATGTTTGGAAATACAGAGTTCATGACACAATTTAGATTATTCCTGTACCTAGTGAGGTTTCAGTCAGTTGTTTCCTGCTTGTGATTCAATGCATAGCCCTGTGCCTTCACACTGTCAGAACTGTAAATATGACCTAGTTCCTCATCAGCTTTTCTGTATCTATGCATTACTTTCCAGACATGGTAGTGGAGTGTAAGTCCTACTTGGAAAAAAAAAAAAAGGCATATTCAAGATTAAGATAAAAATCTACCAATCTTGAGCGCAAAAAATGAAACGGCCAGAAGCATTGATGTATCTCTTTAATCAAATCTCTCTCATTGCCATCAGTTTTAGTTGTGAGGACTTCAGACGTCGACTGGAAAAAAATTACACCATCGTATTTAGGTACACAGAAGGTAAATTACATTTATGTGGACAATGTTCTATTGCTTTTCCTTGCTTACAAGAGCTAGATTTTGCAATGTTCATGTTCCTTTAATGTAGAATGGATTTCGAATGTGTCAGTTTCTAAATCAATCAAGCATAATGAAGAACAAAAGTAGTATCAAATAGGCAAGTAGTGTTTGAGCTTTTAGGTCTGCAGGAAACACCCCTGCTCGTTGAGCTGCAAGAACCTGCGAGCAGCAGCGTATGCCCTCTGTATTCTCTAGCCATCAGGATGGAAGGAGAGACGTGCTTTGCAACAGAGCTCGCCGAAGAGCAACGAGGCTGAAAATGTGGAATCGAGGCCAGGTACTGCAGGACACCATAAGGTCTAGCCTGCACAAGCCTCTCTGCCCAGTCTCCAGCCAAAGCTAATTATCTTCCTCCTGTCCCCATGCACCTCCTTTCTCCCACTTCAGCTCCTTGCTCCGGTCTCCCCTTCCTTGCCAGCTTGGTCTCTCTCGCTCCTCAGTCTCCTTCCTTGATGCTGTCTTACTATTCTTAGGTCTGGCACCTGGTGCCACAAACCCAAGAGTCAGAGCTGTAGAGTGAGTCCTAGGGAGGCACTCCCTAATAAGACGCCAGCCGGTGCAGAGGGGACCTACACGTGGGCATGTCTCTACTCGGCACCGGCAAACCAATGCGTCTTTTATTGTAACTTGCTCTGATTTGGGTAAATTTACAAGAAAGACAAAAGGTCTGCCACTGATGCCACCTCGGCCAAATTTCCAAGCCCTAGTTTAAAACCTGACAGTCTTGGAGCTTCTCTATAAAATAGTTATTAGAATTTTGGTTTAATACAAGCAAAACTACATATTTTTCAAATCACATTCTCGGAAAGAGCTAAACCATATTACCTGGAACTTTTTCAAATGATTCTGCTTCAGGCTTGGAAAATCTAAGTATGAACTGTTAATATCTGGCAGAGTTTTAAGTTACTGGAAACATGAAGTGACCCTATTGGTAGCAGCACTAAGAATTCTGCCTATAATTTGAAATGGGTAAGAAAATATGTATATAACATACGGAGGAAATATCAATATTGCTTACACAGCAGATGAAGTTAAAATTGTTCGAATGGCTGCTGTGACCTATAAGATGATGTGCAGCTAAGCCTTACAGCTGCTTGGATAACATCCTCTCCCCATAGATCAGCACGTAACGTACGTGTACAGACACCATAATAACACAAAATCCTGACACTGTGAGAAGCTCAGCTTGCCAGCCTGTACATCATCTGACTACTAAGCATGAAAGCATAGTGTGTTTATTTAGTCAATTAAGTTTGGTGTGTTTATTTAGGATTTAGTAGTTATGTGTGTATGGATGAGAAATATCGGACAAAAATGCACATATTACAGGGTTTTAATGTATGCTCTGTTCTGAGATTTCTGACTTTCACTGACCATTGTTAGCTGCTGTTAATCCACCATCAGGGCAAATAACAGTGGTTTAGCAGCGGTAATATCCCACAGCATCATTGCAAGTGTAATTTCATGCTGCTTCAACCTCATCCATCCTCTGGGGCCCCCTCCTTAAACTTGATACAGCCACACCTTAAAGTAACTGTTTTGGAACTGTTGTCTCTTCCAGGATTTCAGCTGGGAAGTAAAGTTTCTTCTCTCTCATTATTTCTGTTCATCATCTCTGGGTTATAAGCATTTCCATTATTTGTTTTTCAAGGCATGCACTTTTTTCATGTGGTAATGGTTGTTTGATGAAATTCCTTCAACTGTTTGAGAATTACTGGAGCATTAAAAGATGAAGCCCCAACCTCCTCCAACTTCAATTAATGTCAATACATCTTAAAGAATCAAATGCCTCTGATTAGCTGAGATATATTTTCTTCTTATAATTTTATAATTGGGCTCTTTAGTAGAGGGTGGTGCCACTTAAAAACCCCTTATGACACTGTAGTATACCTTGTCCTTGCAGAGGCGAGCTTGCAGGTGGCTACAGCTCTCAATCTGCTCTAGGACCAGTTTATGGGAAAGTCCATCTCTCCGCAAGAGGTGAGCATCAGCCTCTTCTAGAAATGCTGCACCACTTTAATAGGGCCAGATAAGGAGGCACATGATTAAAATAGCAGAGAAAGATATGCTTGCACAGATCCCTTTTCCTTTATTCTGCATAGTTTGAATTTGAGACTGGGAGATTGCACAAGCCTTTTCACTGCTGTCATCATGATGATGCATTCAGGTGTGAGAAAAATTAGGACTAATATATACAGAAAATCTGGTAAGCTGCTTTTTGTCAGCCTTTTAAATATGAACCCATTTTACATTTAGTGTACATAAAAGCCCCTTGGATTAGAGACAGGAAATTGAAAACTTTCAATAAAATGCTAGTTTGACCTCAGTAAACTTAATTTGTAGCAAACATACTTTGTAGATGTTTTTATCCCTGTAAATGGGTGTAAGTGTTAACAAATCACAATTTCAGAGCACCAAAACGGTCCCACTTTATTACAATTTGTAAATAACCAGGAATAATGTAGGTAATAATTCATGTAGAACAACAAGATACGCTACAACTCTTCAGTTGCAATCATTTTGCTCATAATTATTAAAAGGACAGCCCTGATGTTAATTTTTATAGTATGCATACACTGCTTATGTTAATAGCTGAAAACCTTGTAAAAATGAAATAAAAAAAGGAAACATTTCCTTTGTTGATCTCTTATGAGGTAAAAAGATTAGTCTATATTTCCTTCTTTCCTTCCTTGTATTTCCCTCATCAGGAACAGATACAGACTTGCAAGTTTTTTGCTGTCAGGTTAAAGGATAACAGTGAGATGGTGACAACACAATACATGAAGCTAAAGTGCTCTCAGCCTCAGAGAGCAAAAGAAAAAATTCAGCTTTCTAGCTCACTGCAGTTTCCCTGTGCCTATTTAGGGAGCCAAAACCCAGGACTGTTTAATGTTCTGAGCTAAAAATAGAAGCAGTAAAAAAAAAAAAAAAAAAAAATTAGAAGATGTAGAAGAATGGGGGGTGAACCACAGTTTGAGATCGTATGTGTTTTCAAGGGCAAAAATCCTATTTACTGTTTGTGTCACAACAAAGAGCCTTTTGGTCAGTGCTTAGTCCTGCTGCTAGGAGAGGGAGGCTGCTTCACCTCTCTGCCACACACTGCCCTGTCTGTAAGAGGGGCAGAACTGAGGCAGAGCACAAGGCTGCAGGCCAGGGACTTGTATGGCAGAGGATACCATCATTCCAGTAAACCTTGTACTTCTGGCAACCCTCTCTAGCTGTGGCACTTGGAGTTGCTTGCTGTTCGTTTAGTAAGGTGAGATTATTTTCCGTTTCTGCAGTTTGGCACTACAATCTCATTTTTTAATTAGTGAAGCTGTTGCTAACTAAGGACCCAGGACCTGATTTGTATCCAAACAGAAGAGTCCCAGATCAGTCATCTCCCTCTGACACGTCCTTCCAGTCTCCACCCAGAGCGTGCTTCTTCCTCGCTTACCTTTGTCACAGTCAGCACTTCATTTACACAATCTCTAGTCCTGAACTCCTTCCTCTGTGGTGCTTGTTTTTATTATTGTTATTATTTGCTACATACTTGTAGCCTTAGAAAACAGTGACTATTATTGATGCTGAAACCAGCACTGGGAAGATGCCTGCCTGCCTGTGGGTCACAGGAGGAGGCGGAGGAGGGCTGTACGATGTAAAATGGAGGTCATGCTATTATCAGTTAATATGTATAAAGAGGCTTCACTGCTGCAAATTCTTGCTGAATCAGCACCAGCTTCCTTGCCTGTCTCTTCCTTCTTCCCTGCTTTACTTCTTGCCCTGCCCTTCCTCTGCTCACGCCTCAGCCGGCGCTTCCTTCCCGGTCCCCCCTTTCCCACGTGCCCGTGATGCCACGGTACGGCTCCCGTTGCCTCCCTGCCTTCAGCCCTGCTCCTCTCCTCCCGACAGATTTCCCTTCCCTCTGCCTGTCGCACAGTTCGGTAGCGGCACCTCCCCTGGAAAACTGTTGGCGAATGCATCGTACCCGCTTACAGAAGCCATGGTGGGGACTCTCGGCATCACGGGGACTGGCCCCTGGCAAGGAGCCACCACGGGGGCCGGTGGGGCTGCAGCATTTGCCGTGGTGCAGGTTGACGGTGCTGTGCAGTGCATGGCCTGTGGCATAGCCAGAGCCAGGGTACAGGCAAGCACTGTCACCTGTGCAGGGGCTGCCTTACCAGGTCCCAGTTTTACATGGTCACCTTTGGCCAAAGCAGCAAAGATCTTATATCTTATTTGAAAAACCTTAAGTAGCCTTTATTAAATGCATACAAGACCTCTGAAAAACTCTCCACCTGAAAAGACAAACTCATTTGATAACCCAGCAGCCGTGCCCTACACCTTCCACCCCTTTTAGCAGGGCTGGCCCTCTCAGTCTCCAAAACCATCTGCAAAAGGAATGCTGCAGAAGGAACAAGACATCTTCTCCCGAGTGAGTCAACTCAGGTGTGTGTAGAACCCTGCTTACTGTATCCCCAGAAGCAACGATGCAGCTTCAAGGAAGTCTTGTTATGAAAGGTGTGGGAAGAGACAAAGATGAACCTGGTGAGTCACAGGATCATGCCAGGAGCAGAGCCTGCCTTGGGGACCTGGGAAGACTCCCACCCCTAGACCTGATAATAGGCAAGAAAGAAGGAAGTGATTAATAATTAAAATAATTATGGGATAAATTAAGATAGTCTCCTTATTTATCTTCTTAAGTGTTGTCCAAAACTGGAATCCTGGGATTCCAGGCCAACTGGTTTTATGTCATCCTATAAAGTGGAAAGGGTCCCCATCATTAGGTCTTCTTGGGTGAGAATTATAATTTGTCACACTGTCTGCTTAGGCAGAGGTGCAACTCCTCAGCTGGGAGGAAGCATCGAACTGGGAAATGGGAGTAGCAAAACAATGGCAAAACCAGCTCTTTCTACACTCCGCATATTTTGCACCTGTTCTCAGTAGCTAGGTCTGTCTTGGCAGGGCAGCGCAGCAGTTCGTAACCCACCGAGGGCCTGCGTGGGGCAGAGAGGCTGCAAGCCCACTGAGCTCAGCATGGCAGGGGAGGCACATGAGGTTTTGGGGATCCACAAGGAGAAAGCGGTGGCAGAAGCAGCAGATGGATGAAGATAATGTCACCGTGCCTCCTGCACTCTCCTGCCAGTGACACCCTGTCTCCCTCACCCCACAAACCCAAGTCTGGGGTTACTGCTGTACTCCCGGGGTTCCTCTGCTTTTCCCAGCTGTACACACCATGATTATGGTTGGTCTAAATGGAGATTTTTAACCCATTTAATATCTGTGGTTTAACTGAGGTGCTTGCAGTTTTGTCCATAGTTCTTAGGACTTCCAGGTGCTCTCCCATGCAGATAGGGGGAAGACTCAGGAGGGGGCTTGCACAGTCAGATGTGCTTAGGCCAGTGTAACTTTATCTTACAGAAATAAAAGGGTGCAGGTAGCAGAAAAGAGGCTGCTTCCTTCCCACCCCCTGCCAGCTGAGCCTGTGCCATTCGCCCAGGGGTCTGTAAGGCTGCCAGCACTGACTGACCTGCCCTACGCAGGCATGGGATGGTTAGTCAGGAAAACTGTCAAAGCACAAAGTACGTTGACCAGGGTCCCAGAGAATGGTGGTGATCTCTGCCACGTATTAAGTGGCAGAAAGAAGAGAAAAGGATGTTAGAGAAAGGAATAAATGAAACAAAAAAACAACTTGTGTGGAGGCAGAAGAAAAAAAAGGTAAGGGGAAAATAGACAGTATGTCCCACGTTTGCATGAAGCAATCCAGAGCTCTCGCTACCACGAAAGAACAGTGTAAGCCTATGCAGTGACTGCAGATAGCTAAGTCTCTGAAATTCGCACACACGCTTCACACTGTACTCGCAAAGGCAGTAAATGTCCTGTGCTCCATAAGCCCAGCCTTTTCTCACTTGGCTTGTGTTAAATCAAAACTGACTGCAGTCAAGAATGGCATCCTCTGGGTAAGAAGTGAATAAAAACTGCTAAGTGCTCCATCACTAACAAGAAATTTGTGTCATGAGTGTGGCAATGACATTTTCTCCATTTTTTTTCACATTTTTTTCCTCTAAAAACTGGGTAATTGGGGTGTGAGGTTCCCTACAACAGACAAAGGCCTAGTGGGAATGTCTGCCATCTGCATTATTAAAGTCACATGTAAGCACCATGGGAAGCCGACAAGATAATAGAGACAGCACAATGAACAAAACTTTTGTACTGTTAATACTTCCAGTGATTCATAAAATATTGATAGCAGTCCTGAATGTGTGGTGGCCAAGAGGGAGGCCACTTCACCCACAAGGAATGCGCTAATGAAAGGATACAATAGGATTTTATACTCGAAGAAATTCCCTGGAGGGGCAAGAGCTCCGCTTTTCACATTTGCATTCAATGGCAAGAATAAAAACAGGTGGGAGAGCAGGAAGAAAGTTCCATCTTGAACAAAAGGAGGGAGAGAGGGCTGGGTTGGGCACACTGGCTCCTCTCGGCTGGGAGACAGGGATGAGGGGTACGGGTGGGCTCCCAGGGCACGGCTGCAGGCTGCGAGGTCCCTCTCAGAGAGGTAGCATTCATCATTAGGCTCTCAGTTGAGTCATTCTTTAACTTACATGACCGAGATAGGCCCCAAAAGCCCAAAATGACAGCTAGGTAATAACCAGGCGTCAGGCACACCCTAAACTGCATTTCAATTTCCTCTTTTGTGACTTGGCATCAAGAATGCAACCGCCTCCTTTGCTGGAACAACCCGCATGCTCTTGCATTTAAGCCTGTCAGGTGCTCACAGTGAATTTGGGCAAGAGCAACAAATGCGAGATGCACATCTGCTGGGAGCACAGGCTCTGAGCAGGCACCTCTTTGGGGTTATCAGCAGCCTGAGAGAGACCTGAGAATCACAGGAGCTGGCACCGGGTCTCATCCAGCTCCTGGCTTGCTTAATTTGATGCAGATGAGTAGTCTTCCTGAAGTCACCCGGCTACTCACCTGAGTTTGTGAGCTGAGCAGCACAGGCAGGCAGCAGGTAGCTCTGCTCCCACCAGCGCTTCCTTGCTCAATGCAGGTTTCATAGTCAGTTCGACTTGTGCAAACCCACTGACATGCCCCGAAGGACAGAAACTGAAAAATGTGGCGAGGGTTTTTCAGACAATGCTTTGAGTTTGAATCTAATTTAATGTCTTCATAGTGCATGTTTAATGATGAAAAATAAACACCAGAGTGGCCCTGTTGTGCTCAGAGTTATGCATGCATTACAATTAGAAAATTAATATGGACTTGCTTGTAAATTCAGTCAACAGAAAAAGCCAGCTTGGGTATATGAAATTGGGAATGATGTGTATACACTCATATGTCAAAGCACAATTTTTTTGTTTTTTTCCTAATGTACTGTAACCTGTCTTGGCCAAATTACATTCACTGAAGCCACCACAAGTCAACACAGCCCAAGTTATAGTCCCATGTCTCCAGCCAGCAAACGATCTTTTCATTCCTTATTCTTGCCAAAATTGTGAATGTAATATTTGACTTGTCACTGTAGCAGTTTAAGACAAAGTAAAGCTTTTTTCTTTTTTTTAAACAATATATTTGCACAAAGTTAGAATGAGAGCAATGACTTAAATCAGGCTTGAAGTTAAAAAAAAAAAAAAAAGGCTTACCTATTTGCAGTTAAAGAGTGATTTCTTTCTAAGCTGCTCCTCTGCAGTAGCAGGCAGTAGTTCTGCATGTGTAGTGAAATTAGTGTTTATAAATGTTACTATAGTAACTGTATCCGTAGCCACAGGCTGGTAGACAGTGTTCTGGTTATCTAGTGAGAAGCAAGGTAAAAAGGAAAAAAAGAGACATAGTGTTGTAAGACAGCCGTGCACTTGATGATTCAAGAAGGAACAGCAGTAAAAGTGTTTTTTGCCTTTATACTAACCAGTGCCTTGTTGCATGCAATACAGCAGTGTTTTTCCCATTAGAACCTCATAAACACACCATGAAATGTAAACAAATATTCAGGCTTTTAACCAAAGTCAGTATCTGCTTCCTAACAACTTTCATCTTTGATTTTACTTTAATGGAAGTAAAAACTTGTCAGGCTTTTAAGGACCTTTAAGAATAAGGTGAAAGAATAAGGTCATTTGCCTAGGCTGTGATCCTGTGAACACTCACCTGTGCAGCTTCAGACATAAATGCACGCCGAGTGGCCTTAATAAATATCAGTGGAGTTACTCACCTGTGTGAAAATAGTAAACATATTTTCAGAATTGAAACTTGTAATTAATTTATATGCGGGTGTGCAAACCTAATGCTGGGTTAAATATCATTAGCTTACCGCTTAAAGGAGAAGCTGGTGATTTGGAGAGAAAAAAAAAACCAAAACGAAAAACATATTGGGGGATGTAAAGGCTACAGCAGCTCCCAGAAAAACTGTGAGTCGATGTTCAGGCATGGACATTAAGCGGTTCATAGGAGCCAATATGTTGTTCCAGACGGGCTCTTTGCTCGTAACATTTGCTACCGAAGAAGAGTGGGAAAGCTGAAAGTGAAACTAAGCAGTAACAGTTTCATTTTCAAGACCGAGAGGAGAGTAGAAACCGAACCGGCATGAAAAAATGCAAAGAGGTTCTTAGGTGACTGTTACCACGCAGCACCTATTTGTTATCCTAAAACATGATTCAGACGCTTAAAAAAAAAGTTTAAAAAAATCATTCTCTCTTCAATTTAAGCGAAACCGGATTTTTTTTTTTTTAATTTTTTTCCCTTTTAATTTGCTGCGAAGCTTGGGGCAGCCGCCGCCGAGCGCAGCGGCTCCTCCACCTTAAGAGTCCGTCTTAAAGCACGGGGGATGGCAGCAGCCATCTTACGGGTCGCTGTCACAGCTGCTGGGAAGCCCGAAGCCAGCCCCGGCCTCCGCCGCGGGGTCCCCGTCCCCGGGGACCCCGCGGCGGAGGCCGGGAGGGCAGATCCCGACCCCCCCCATCGATTTAAAACCTCAGCAAAAAAAAAAAAAACCACAAACCCAGACCCCCCTTTTCATGAAAATACTACAGCGTTTTCCTGTATTCCTTTCTTTTTTCCCCCATCATTTGATGAATATGCTAACTCGCCGTATAACCTCACGCTTGAAAACATCCCCAGGAGCTGAGAAGGTGAGGGATGGGGGGAGACCACAGGGAAAAGTGTTTCCCCCCCCCCCACCCATATTACTCCTAACTTTGCAGAAGTCTGGAGTCATCTTTGCTTGCCCGGCGCAAGGTGGCAAGGCCCTGCGCCTGTGAGCGCTCTTTATATGCTGGGATTCCCTTCCAAACTAATATTGCTGCTTCAGGTTTACACATCAAAGAGCCGTAGATCCCACGCAAACGCCCAGCCTCAGCTTTTTACACGGTGGTGCTGTAGTACAGAATTGCCATTTGTGGTTTCTCACGGCTCAACCGCGTTTTTTACATACATGCAACGGAGCGTAACCGCCTCCAACCCGAAGCACTTGCTTCTGTGCAGAGAGCTCAGTTTCTGTGGCGGGATCATTTACTTAATTTTAGCTTTCAATTAAAAGGTGATCCCTTTAAGACATAAGTTGCTGCTGTCAACGCTTGTTCCTGGACAAAAAAAAAAAAAAAAGAGAAGCAAGCCCCAAAAACACGACGCGAGGAACTGAGCAGGGAGTTTCTGAATTCTCCTGCACGTCAAAGCGACCGGCATTTATCTACGGAATTAGAAATCAGCTGGGGAAAAAGGAATCCTGTAAGAGCGGCCGCAAGCGCGCAGTGGGGAAACACAGCGGTTAAGTCAAGCAAAGTAGCGGCGCGGCGCGACGCGGGGGAACGGAGGCTGCGGCGGCACCGCGGGCTCCGCGGGCTCCGGGAGCGCGGCCGCCCC